TTATCGCGTTCAGGCGGCGGCCAAGCCAAGTGTGTGAAGTGGTTTTCCTTCTCCGTTTCATGCTGTGGCTTTTTTTTATCCCTCGTTAAAGGAAGGAACATTAACCCCAGGGTGGCAGCTGCATTCTCCTGCTGCTTCTCCAGGTGAGCTGGGGCTGCAGCCTGGGAGTGGGGGGATTTGCTTTGAACCCTGCTGAGCCCCTGCAGCAGGGAGCGACTGCTGCAGAAATAAAGCATGGGATTTTTTTTTTTTTTAACCTTCCCAACAGCAGGATTTTTTAGGGGTCTGAGTCATCCTGCGCTCCGGAGCGGCGTCACGAGGGCGGCGAGGAGCGGGTGCTGCGACACGGGCACCTCGCTGCTGTGGGGGACGTTGTCCCCCTGCCCTGCTGACGAGCAGGGGCTGGGCCGTGCGGGGCCGCGCGGCCAGAGCCGGGATGGGAGTCCCAGGCATCTCCCAGCCCTGTCCTGGGAAGCCAGGGATACGCCCGGAGGCTTCACCTCCTTCCTCTCCCCATAAACACTCGAGTGTTTAATTAAAAGGCAATTAAAAGTGTTCTTTCCACAGTGTTTGGGGGAGATCTTTGTGCGAGGGGAGTGGTGCCAGAGCTCTGACTAAGCCTGACCTTGGATCCCGTTCCGTATGGAGCCGGATTACTGCGGCGGAGCGGCCGCGGGAGGGGACAGGAGTCCCAACAGAGCAGGGGAGGGGGATGCCGGCCAGGCACAACCCTGCGGGGGCCATAGGACACAGTCCTGGGGGATTCGACTGGGGAGTTCTGGAAAACGGAGTGTCTTTTGCACCCTTTTTTAGCCAGCACCCAGTGCCAGAGGCGGATTCGAGGGAGGCTCCGCAGGCTGCAGCTTGGGATCTGGGGCCACACACTCCTCCGGGCTGTCCTTGACGCTGCCGTGGGTGCCCAGGCCTCTCTTCTACCCCATTCCCGAGTGCCGATCCCATACGGTGGATTTGAGTCATTGGGATCTTCTGGCTGCTGGATGGAGCTTGTATAACAGCCCGTCCGCGCTGGTTTAACCCAGCTGCTGATAAGGAAGGTGAAAAGCGCACCGAGCTCCGAGTCTTTCCCAGGCTATCGGAGCGGGAGCAAATATTTGCCAGGCGCTGCAGCGGCCAGGTCCACGTGCAGAGGAGCCGGGTGCTGCAGGGACCCTCTGCAGCCCAAATGGGACCAGCACCAGCCCCGTGCCAGCGCTTGCAGCCTGCGTCCCCATCTCATGTGGCATCTGAGGCCGAAGGCCACTTGCAGGCTCGCCTGCTTTTACAGCCTTCCAGCAGCTTTCGTTGTTGGAAATCTCTGATTTGAAGGCTGCAGTTTCCGCCGATGCCCGATGCCCGGCTGGAGGTGCCCCACAGCTCCCAGCTCTGCTCTGCCGTAGCCCGCGCGAGCCCCGGCTTCCCTGGGGATCTCTCTCCTTCTCCACCTTGCTGGGGACGTGGCTGTCCTGTCCCGCTGGCCCCACCAGCCTGCAGGGTGTGTGACATGCGTGGGGAGCATTTGATAGGACTCTTAACGTCTGCGTTTCCCTGTCCTTGTTTGCTCAAGCTCGCAGGGTTGATGGTGACTCAACGGTTCGTGCTTTTTGCTGCCGTGATGTTTCCTTATGCCTTCGATAGCAGAGGGACTGTACAAAGGAAGGAATTGGGGGTGATGGTGCATGGGCTGTGCTCGTAATTTGGGAATCAAGGGTCTCCCTTAGCAGGGAAATGGCATCTCAAGGGACTTGTCTTCTCTTGAGGAGGTCACAAAGACCAGCAGGAACCCACTGGGTGCATCCCCGCGGCGCCGGCCGCGCTCTCCGCTCCGTCGCAAAGTGCAGATGGCAGAGCCGCCCATCCGGAAGGAGCTGAGGAATGCGGCGCTGGGGGTGCCAAGACGAGCTCCTTGTGCGAAACCGCTTCCTCTGCCAGGGAACAAATGGGCCTTACTTTGGAATAATAATTATGAAGCCTGGGATATTAGCCAGGAAAATTCAGCCCCCAAATCTGCTGTGGGGCTCAGTGTACTTGGCCAGGGACCTGGTTGCAAGGAGTAGCTCCGCTCTGTGAGGACGTGACTCTCATCACATGTAACGGAGAGGTGCAGAGCGGCTCTGGTGGGATTTGAGCACCTATGAGACAGGAGCTCTTGCAGAAGCCGGCTCTGCTCTGGGTGGTTTCTGACCTGTGAATAAGCAATGCCAGGATATGTGAGCATGGTGAGCCTGGTGTCCATGTCACAGCATGGGGAAGAGAGGGATGGAGGAGGGAAACTGAGGCACGCAAGGAGCTACGAGCTTGGAGTGCGGAGGGAGCTGGCAGCAGAGCTTCCTGCAGACGTGTCCTAGTCCATGCAGCAGCCTCCGGTGGCCTCACCAGCGCGTGTCTTACTCTGTCCTCCTCCTCTCCAGGTTTCCATGTGATTCCCTCGGTGTCCAGCATCGTTCCTGAAAGCTGCCTGCTCATCGTGGTGGGCCTGCTGGTCGGAGGCCTCATCAAAGGCGTGGGGGAAAAGCCCCCCATCCTCAACTCAGAAATCTTCTTCCTCTTCCTCCTCCCACCCATCATCCTGGACGCTGGCTATTTCCTGCCCTTGCGCCAGTTCACGGAGAACCTGGGCACCATCCTCATCTTCGCCGTGGTGGGGACGCTCTGGAATGCCTTCTTCCTGGGCGGCCTCATGTACGCCGTGTGCCAGATTGGCGGCACCGGCCTCAACCACATCGGCCTGCTGGCCAACCTGCTCTTCGGGAGCATCATCTCGGCCGTGGACCCCGTGGCCGTGCTCGCCGTCTTCGAGGAGATCCACATCAACGAGCTGCTGCACATCCTGGTCTTCGGCGAGTCGCTGCTCAACGACGCCGTCACGGTCGTAAGTGGGGCAGAGCAGGCGGGTGGGTGATGGGGATCAGCCACGAACACGGGGTTCTCTCGGGAGCAGCGTCCCGGGTGGTGGCACCGGGGTTGGCAGCGGTCGCTCGTGCAGGCCGAGCCGTGGACGGTGCCGCTGCCAGCCGAGCCGCGGCAGCTCTGCTCGCCTCTAACCTTTTGCGGGTGCCAAGCTAAAGATAGCAGCTTGAGACACCCCAGAGGTGGTTTAAGGTTCTGCTTGGCTGTTTGGGGAGACCAAAAGCACGGCCATCAAGGGGAGCCTGACCACTCGTTGCCTCTCTTGTCCTCCCCAGCTGCAGGATGAGGGATGAGAGGGGAAAAGCCAAAGGGATCCACTTCCCTGCCCCTGGTTTGTGGCTTTTGGCTGGTTGCAGGGAGCAATACCCTTACAGGGACTTTTGGGAGCTTTCGGGGACGTCTGTGTCCAGGTGTCGGCTTGGCCAACAGTGTGGCCTCCTCCTCTCCGCAGTGCTGACCTCTGCATTTCCTTCTAGTCCGTTGCTTTTTCCTGGCGCTTCTCCCATATCCCATCTGTCCGCTTCCGAGCCGGCTGCGCAGCCTGCTGCAGAGGGGGGCGAGGAACGTGCTGTCCCAGCGCAGGGCTTTTCTCCTCTCTTGGCCCGGGGCTCTCAGCAGGGTCTGTGTCCCCTCTCCCATCGCTGGGGAACATTTTTGCCTTCTGCTGTCACGTCTGTCCCCCTCACAGGGCCTGGCACTGCCTGGCGAGAGCTGGCACCTTGCCCTCTTGCTGCTCGCAAGTGTCACTGTCCTTGCAGGAGACTCAGAAACCAGTTCCCCTCTGCTGACGCTGCTGCATCAGCTTTTCCTCTAAAATCTGCCCAATAAATATGTTGGAGGTGGGAGATGCAGCCCATAGACTCCTCCTATGAGTTTACCCTTCTAGCTACAAAATGACTTACGGGTTTGAGCTGTTGCCTGTGCTGAGGTGGGCAGATGTCGGGTTTTCTCTGCGTGTAGCTGTCAGGTGTCCTCAGCCTGGACCTCGTTGCTTATTGGAAAGCAGAAATAGTCTCTTGCTGGGTCTGACCTTGACAAAAGCCCTTCCTGAAGCAGCGGTCTGGACTCATCAGGGATGTGTGTGTGCCCTGCTGGGTACCCGTGTCGGTCCCTTTGCTGCTGCTCCCAAGGATGGTCATTGCATAGGGCTCTTCTGAGGTGAGGGTGCCGCTTGCCAGTGGGCGGGTTGAAATCCTCTCTCCCTTCTGCCCCCAGGTCCTCTACCACCTCTTTGAGGAGTTTGCCAACTTTGAACAAGTGACCATTATCGACATCATCCTCGGCTTCCTCAGCTTCTTCGTGGTGTCTCTGGGCGGCGTCTTTGTGGGCGTCATTTACGGGGTGATCGCTGCCTTCACGTCCCGCTTCACCTCCCACATCCGCGTCATCGAGCCCCTCTTCGTCTTCCTCTACAGCTACATGGCCTATCTCTCCGCGGAGCTCTTCCACCTCTCTGGCATCATGGCGTGAGTTGGTCTCGGGTGACAGGAGCTCAGTGGGTGCTGAGGACCTAGGGAGCCTGTTTGCCCCAAAACCTCAGCCCTGCAGTAAGTGCCATCTCCACCCCAGGGGCCTCTAGGATGGTGGCTTTTGCCCTGGCTGGGTTGATAACACAAGGGCAGCCCCTTTGCAGGTGCCCAGCACCCATGTCCCCAGGGAACGCTGTGACAAACTATTTTTCTCACTATAACTGCATCATCGCTGCCCCACTGTGGTCAGCATATCCCCAGTGAGAGCCAGGGATGTTTGGGATATGCAGGAAGGTAGATGAGAAAAACATCTCTGTTGAGCTGTCCTGCAGATCCTGCAGCACTGGCTGCCTGTTTCCCATTCTCTTGGTCCTGGGTAGCAGGCAGGGCCTGCTGAGCTCTCAAAAACACCATGTTTTTTGAGCTTGGTTTTTGAGCATGGTTGTTGGAGCTGCCTGGCTCCAACACTTGCCTCCACCCTGTCACAGGGAAGGAGAAGCCTTCTTTGCCTTCCCTCGAGGGCCTGCCTCATTGCAGATGGCCCTGCCCTGCCCTGGGCTTTAGTACAAAAGCACAAAATGCTGCCCCGGGGCCCAGTGTTGTGGTAGTCCCCATGGCTGCTGAGTGCCCCAACCTTGCTTCTAGGCTCATCGCCTCCGGCGTGGTCATGCGGCCCTATGTGGAAGCCAACATCTCCCACAAGTCCCATACCACCATCAAATATTTCCTCAAGATGTGGAGCAGCGTGAGCGAGACCCTCATCTTCATCTTCCTGGGTGTCTCCACTGTGGCTGGCCACCACTACTGGAACTGGACCTTTGTCATCAGCACGCTGCTCTTCTGCCTTATCGCAAGGGTTTTAGGTGAGGTGCTGACTTGGGGCAAGGCCTTTGGGAACAGTCCAGGTTCCTCTCACATGATAAGGCCCAAGTCCACCTTGCTGGAGAGCCTGTCACAGATGGAAATGGGATTGACTGGGTGGACACTGCTCTTCCATGGGTCTCAGACCTTCCTGGTCCTTGGCCTTGTGGAGAGGACAGAGTGAAACCAGGTTTGTGCTCAGCCACAACTTCAGAGCAGGCAGATGTGGCCTCTGTTGTGGGCCTGAAGCTGGTGAAGCTGCTGACTGAAGCTGGTGGTGGGGCAGCCATGCAGGGCAGCACCCACCTGTGCCCATGGCCCTGAGACTATGGCAGTGCCCCAGGTCCCTTTGGGTCATCCAACATCCACTCACCCGAGGCCACTTCCCCATTCTGTAGGTGTCCTGGGCCTCACCTGGTTCATCAACAAGTTCCGAATTGTGAAGCTGACACCCAAGGACCAGTTCATCATTGCCTACGGGGGCCTGCGGGGAGCCATTGCCTTCTCCCTCTGCTACCTCCTGGACTATGAGCATTTCAACATGAGGGACATGTTCCTCACCGCCATCATCACTGTCATCTTCTTCACCGTCTTCGTGCAGGTTGGTGGCACGCCACTATGTAGATGGGAAGGGGGTGTCCTGTGGGTAGCCCGTCCATATGGAGAGCAAGGACCATGTCCCCGAGCTCCATTCTTGACCCTGTCGCTCTCCCCCCTCTAGTTTGCAAAGCTGTTCAGGTCCTCTGGCAGGTGACACCGGCAAAACGGAGCCCTGCGTGGCTGCTCCTGCCTTTGCGCTTTAACCTCTGCCGTGGGGAGAGGTCTAATCTGCCCTGGCTGTTCCCATTCCTTAGGGCATGACCATGCGGCCCTTGGTGGACCTGCTCGCGGTGAAGAAGAAGCAAGAGTCAAAGCGCTCCATCAACGAAGAGATCCACACACAGGTAACCCGCTGTGCCAGGCGGGCCCTTGCCGCGCGCTTCGCTTCGCCGCCTTAGCCCTCTTCTCTCGGCTTCTGGCCACCTCTGCTGCTGTAACCGGGCAGCTTTACAGAGCGGGAGCTGCCCCTAAGTCGGTGCCAAGGTAAGCGTGGATGGAGCAAGGGCTCTTCCCCGTCTGTGTCGTCTGGTGCCTGCTCCGACCCAGAGCTCCCACGTGTCTCGTAGTGCGGCGCCCGGCCGCGTAGGAACGTGCTGCCCGCCCGAGGCCCGTCCCGGACCCGCAGCCCTGAGCTCGCACCCTCGAGCATCGTCACCCAGCGTGGCGGGACGAGGGCGGCTGGTGGCCCCGCGAGCCACCGCAGCCCTGGGTTTTCTCTTCCAGTTCTTGGATCACCTCCTGACTGGGATTGAGGATATCTGTGGTCACTACGGCCATCACCACTGGAAGGACAAGTGAGCACAGAGCTTTTATGATGGGACTACGTGGGTGGGATGGGGGAGGTTTGGAGCTGCCACCTGGTAGCATCCCCAGTGCATCCCCCCGGCTTGTCCAGCCTCGTGCGCTCCCCCCAAGGAACTGCAGCCCTGGGTTGGGCGTGCTGGAGGCTGCACCTCTTGGCTCACAGCAATTGGGGAGCCACCAGCATCTGCTCCCTGTGAGACCTGCAGGAATTGAGGACCATCCAATATTGACCCTGCGCTTGTGGGGAATGGTCTCCTGGTGACCTGGGCTCATCCCGGCGAAGGGGACAGGGTGCCGGGGCAGAGAGAGATCTCACCTATCACCTCTCCCTCCTTTCTGCCATGTCCTTGGCTTCAACAAGAAGTATGTGAAGAAGTGCCTGATTGCGGGGGAGCGCTCCAAGGAGCCCCAGCTCATCGCTTTCTATCACAAGATGGAGATGAAGCAGGCAATCGAGATGGTGGAGAGCGGGGGTATAGCCAAGATCCCCTCGGCTGTCTCCACAGTCTCCATGCAGTGAGTTCCCCGGCCTCTGCCCATGCTGTGCTTCCAAACAGCTCCCGATCCCACTCCGGACTGCCTGCTCCCTGCTTGCCACCATTTGGCTATGCACATGATGACAACTCTGCTCTATCCGTGCAGGAACATCCAGCCCAAGATCCTCCCTGTGGAGCGCGCCCTGCCAGCCCTGTCCAAGGACAAAGAGGAGGAGATCCGGAAAATCCTCCGCAACAACCTGCAGAAAACCAGGCAGAGGGTAAAGTGTCCCGCGGCACCGGGCCCCTGTGCCGTGCACGTCCCCTCCCCTTCCCCGACACTGGAACTCTGCTGTCTCTGCCTGGGTGTCCACTCTGCTCTTGGCTGTAACTGGGGCCTCCATCTCCTGGGCTGCGATCCTGTGCTCTGGGGGGCTCTTTGGGGACACGGGGACATCTCTGCTGAGCTCAGGCCCCCTCCCATCAAACTGCAAACCTGTCTGGTGGGCTCGGAGAGCGGCAGATTCTGCCTCTCCCACCTGCTCCAAGGCCTTTGCCGATTCGGGGCGGCGAGGGATGGTCTAGGGAAGGGGGGTGTCCGAAGTGGGCGCATGTGTGCGGTCCCCACTGGTGGCTGCAGCATCCCAGGCAGTGCCCCATCTCCAAGGGAAGCAGTGCTGCAATCTTCCCATGCCTTTCTGTGTGTTTTTTTAACCTCTGTGTCCTTTTCCTGGGGCCCTTCTCAGCTGCGATCCTACAACCGGCACACGCTGGTGGCCGACCCCTACGAGGAAGCCTGGAACCAGATGCTCCTGCGGAGGCAGAAGGTCCGACAGATGGAGCAAAAGGTGCCGAGGGGACTCCAGAGTGGGGGCAGGCAGGGAAGGACGTCGATGTCCCGCCCGCAGAGGGTACCCAGGGCTCAGATGGTGGCAGGGGACTCGGGGCCAGGACCAGGGCAGGGGAGACGTGTGCGAGTTGTCCGGATCCCGTGGCTGCTGCTTCCCTGGCCTGGGGGTGATTCCAGGCATGGAGCATCCTCATGCCACCCTCTCTGTGCTCCAATTGCAGATGAACAACTACCTGACGGTGCCGGCTCACAAGGTCGATTCACCCACTATGTCCCGTGCTCGCATCGGCTCAGGTACGGAGGGACCAAGCGGTCAGATTCCCACCAGGGAAGTCGGGAGGGAGGTTGGGATCTGGGCACATCCTGCAATCCGGGATCAAGAATGCAGCGCTGTGCCGGCACATGCCGAGTCGGCAGTCAGTCGGCAGAGGGCAGCTTTGGTCCTTGCAAATCGCATGTCTGGGGCTGGATTACCCTGCACTTTTCCAAAGAGGCAGTGGAGGCCAGAGAAACCACAGGAAATTGGAGAGAAATTGGAGACTAAACATCCCTTGGACAGCCTGAGCCCCTGCTTCCCTGCGGGAGCCCTCAGGTTATGGGTTTGCTCGGTGCCGGCACCCCGGCTCTCTGACCATCCCTCCCGCCTCCCCCAGATCCCCTGGCCTACGAGCCCAAGGCGGACTCGGAGAACCTGCCCATCATCACCATCGACCCGGCCTCGCCGCAGTCCCCCGAGTCCGCGGACCTGGCGAACGAGGAGCTCAAGGGCTCCAGCCACGTCTCGTCCTCGCGGGGCGGGGAAGGCCCCCGAGGGACCCGCCGTCCCCGGGTACCGACGACGTCTTCACGCCGGGCGCCAGCGACAGCCCCAGCAACCAGCGGATGCTGCGGTGCCTGAGCGACCCGGGGCCGCGGCCGGAGCCGGAGGAAGGGGAGCCCTTCATCCCCAAGGGGCAGTAGCAGCCGCGCAGAGCCGCGCTCACCCACGTACGGAGCCTCTTTCTTCATTCGTTCTTCTTTCTTTCCCCCGCTCCCTTTTTTGGGTTCCTCCGTCACCACACGCACCGGGTTTGGGAAGGGGATGGACAGGGACTGCCAAGACAGCTCTGCCCAGCGAGCCGCGGCCAGGGCGGGATGGACAGTCTCCGCTCCGGGAACGCCGCGCCGCCTCTCCAAAGCCTGCCTTGTTCAGGAGCAGAGCGCCCGGAGCGGGAGCCGCCTCTGCTTCGGAACCCAAGCACAGACCCCCTCCCCTGGGGCCCTTCTGGGGCCTGCATGGATGCTCCTGTGCCGCAGGCGGGAACGTCTCCGCCAGCCTGGGAATGTCTCCTCCAGCACTGCATTTCACGCTGGGTCTTGTTCAATAAGTATCTATAGCCATGCAGGGGGGACGCAGGTGCCCCCGCGCTTCTGAGGCCCCTCCGGGCTGCTCTGTCCCTCCTGCAGCCCCCGGCCGCGGGGGCTGCTCGGCCCCTGCCCCGCGCCTGCCTGCGCCCTGCGCTTCCCGGGGCAGGGAATGCCAAAAGCACCGGGTGCTCCTTAACCAAAGACCGCCACTGAGTCGGACGTGCAGGGGGCCACAGCCTGCAGATGATTGTATTTCGTTTTTTTACTCTGTGTGTTTTTTTTTTCCTTACCTATCCCCTAAAAGAGCTTGGGAAGAGCCAAGGGTCCCCTCGGAGGGGACAGACGCGGTCCTTGGCTTGGAAGGAGCCGGCGGCGGCTACGCTGCGCCG